CTCCCAAAAAGGCCAAGACGTTCATGCAGTTAGTGTGGGAGGCACTCCAGGACGTCACGCTGATCATCTTGGAAATCGCAGCCATAATCTCCCTGGGCCTGTCCTTCTACCACCCTCCAGGCGGTGACAATGAATGTGAGTCCCTGGGGTCCCTGCGGCATGCTGGGGTGCTCGGTGGGGGACCCACATGAGCTGCCATGCCCAGCCGTGCGGGAGCAGGGCTTCGGGACAGGTGCCATCCCTGAATGTCACCCCGTGGGTCCCTCCACTCTGGTGCACATGGAGCAAGGGAGCTACTTCTGCTCACCCTTTAGGTGGTGGCTTCTCCCCGTCCTTGGGGTCCTTGGCATGGTCCCATCCATGTCCAGGGACCTGCACTGGTGGACACATCTGGGCACAGTTGTCACCATGACATGGCTCAGAGCTGCTCCTTGCTGCTCCCCCAGAGACCAAGGGGTCTGTCTAGTTCAGTGGCTTCCCAAGTCCCATGGGGCTTCTCTTTTGGTTCGGGGCATGGAGGGACAAGGCTGTCTGTCCCCTAGTACCTCCCCCCAAGAGGGAGTGCTCCTCCCAGCCGTGACACCCCATGTGTGGCTAAGAGACAGCACTGGGAGAGTTTCTCCTCCCCGGCCCTGGATCTCTGTATCGTTGGAGGAGTCGAGCAGGCGCAGGGATGCAGAGATGCAGGGAGACAGTGACTCACTTGAGGGTCACGTAGCAGAGGGAGGGCTGGGTGCTGCAACTGGAAATAGAAGCCAGTTGTCCCAGCTCTCTCAGCCCAACCTCTGCCAAAAATGAAAAATGAAAAAAAGAGGGAGGGGGGGAAAAAACCCCAAATGCCTCCAGGGATGTAAAAACCCTCTCCTGAGAGCAGGGGAAGCCCTTGGACCAGCTCAGGGAGGAGGAGGGAGGAGTAACTGTCTTCCAGGCTCTGCTCTGCGCATGTTACTTGGAGGAAAGCGGGTGTCTTGTTGTGCAAACGAGTTTTCTCCTCCGACTGCAGTGTGCGGCCAGTCGGCAGGCGGTGTGGAGGACGAGGGCGAGTCGCAGGCTGGCTGGATCGAGGGGGCGGCTATCTTGTTTTCGGTGATCATCGTGGTGCTGGTGACCGCTTTCAATGACTGGAGCAAGGAGAAGCAATTCCGGGGCCTCCAGAGCCGCATCGAGCAGGAGCAGAAGTTCACGGTCATCCGTAAGGGGCAAGTGATTCAGATCCCGGTGGCTGAGATTGTGGTGGGAGACATCGCGCAGATCAAGTACGGTGAGTGGAGGTGGCGGTGGCTGGGGTCTGTCCCTCCACCTCGGGAGCCTTGGTGGTTCCTCCTCTCTGCTTTGCCAGTTACTCCATTTTGCAGCGTGCTGTGGCCAGGAGCGATGGGAGATGCTCCACTGACCTTGCTGCTTGCTAGCCTGGAGATGGGCTGGCAGAGCTAAGCCGGGCTCTGCACGCAGCTTTGGGTTGCTTTAGTGACCTGCTGGTCTCAAAAATGATTCATTTGCACAACCATGTCCTTGTGTCCCTGTGAACATCTCCTTAGCAAGGAGGAACATCATCTTAGCAAGGAGATGTAGCCCTTGGGCTAAACTAGGTCCTGGTCCTTGTTTACCAGGGGGTGTGCTGATCCCATGCAACTCCCATCAGGAAGGAGATTGGTCCAACGTGGTGTTCATTTCCACACAGGGCTTTTTCCTTCCTCGGCGGGTGAGTGATGGGATTGTGTAATGGTTTGGATGTATCAGGAGGCTTTGGGAAGGATGTGGTGTTGATTCAGTAAAACTAGGTGGGGGAAGCACTGTCTGATTGAGCAAACGTCCTCACAACAAATGCTTTTGTACATCAGTGAAGAGTTTGGAGCTATTGGATATCATCTTATAATACCCATCTGTTGCTTCTCCTCTCTCTAGATTTAGTCTGAGACTGAATTTTTAGTCCTTTCGGTGACCCACAAAGCCTCCTCCTGGGACGAGGCAGGCAGGGGTGAGCTGTGGCTGGCCGGGCTGGGGCTGACCCCCCTCTTTGCTCCTCTCCTAGGTGATCTCTTGCCAGCAGACGGGATCCTGATCCAGGGCAATGACCTGAAAATAGATGAGAGCTCGCTGACCGGGGAGTCAGACCAAGTCAAGAAATTGCTGGATAAAGACCCCATGCTGCTGTCAGGTGAGGATCCCGGGCGGCTCTCACGTGGTCAGTGCAGGGCTGGGTTTGTGCCATGATGGAGCGGTGATTGCTCACGAGTCCTGTGTCCCGGTGTTGGGGAGGAGATGGGAATGGTGTGCCAGTGTCCTGTCTCACCGTGGCCTTCCTGCTGTGCCAGGTACCCACGTGATGGAGGGCTCCGGCAGGATGGTGGTGACTGCCGTGGGTATCAACTCCCAGACGGGAATCATCTTCACTCTCTTGGGTGCGGGAGAAGGAGACGAGGAAAAGAAGGTGAAGAAAGGTAAGGAGATCCACTGAAACCGCTTTTTCCCTCCTTTTGCCTTTCTCCCTTTCCTGGGAAGCATCCACCGGTGTGCAACAAGCTACGCCCACATCCGTGGGACGCGATTGTGTGTTAGTGCCCATGATCCAGGCAGGTATGGTGAGATCTCGAGGCGGCGGGGGGGGATCCCTCCCTGCTGCCCCTTCGCCCGCAGCATGGGGATTGTGCTGCCTGAGGAAAGCCCCCCAGACCTCTGCTCACCAGCTCTTTCAGACGTGGCTCCAACTCTCTCTTCTCCAGCTGGCTGCAGCCTGGAGTTGCAGGGTGGGGGGGGTCGAGGCTCAGAGGGAAAAGTGGCCGATAGCGATGCCCCGCAGTGCCGTGGCTCGGTGCTCATTGCCCGCCCCATGGTGGGAAGGTGAGTCCTGGTTGTCCGCAGGATGCAAGTAGCCCACCCAGCACCCTGAGGACTTTGCTGAAGATCTCTGCTGGCATCCCCTGAGCTCCCTGGGGAAGGAGGCGAGGCGCAGAGGATGGCAAGAGGGAGAGGAGGGGTTGTGTGCTGGGCGGTGAAGGGTAAGAGAGCAGCCAGGCGGGCTGAGGTGTTCCTGATCATGCTGGGACTCGAATGCTTTCCTGCCTCGACTCTCACATCTTGCTGCTTATTCCCCTGCTCTGTGTCAGCTCTGATACCAGCTTTAAAGCCAGTATCAGTGCAAGCCAGGCTTGGGAAGCTCCTGCTCTCCCCCGTGTCCCCACACCCC